TTTAGGTTTCCTCCTGTAGTAACACTGGATCAATGAGAGATGATCCTTACTGGACCTCTAGGGAGAACAGTTTAGAACTGATAGAGCTATCCAGTATAAATAAAGTTAGTTTAGTTTAGGTTTCCTCCTGTAGTAATACTGGTTAAACAAGGCATGGATTTCTAGATAGCGTAGACAAACTTGATAGAGCTATCCAGTATAATAAAGTAAATTTGCTTAGGTTTAATACCTCTTTCTCAAATGTATACCAAGTGATCCAAGATAGTCCCCAAAAGTCCCAAAGATTCCTGCAATACATTCTCCGTCTGATGGCGTCATTCGGTACCAATTCCCGCCTTGGCCACCGAACCAAATTGAAGATTTCATATTTGAGTGAAAACGTATCCCGTCAACCCACGCGCCCGCTCGGATCTCCACCGAAGTGAGATACTCATCGTCCTCCAGGGGAAATGTGTGAATCGAACACGACTTCTCGATTTTGCCATACACTGGACAACCTTTGACAAAATAAAACAGTCTGCTGTTGCACATTTTGTATAAATTTGAACATTTTGCGCTCGCTAGAACAATTTACTGATCAGCGCGGACAAAATTCCTGCTTGCCAACCTATCATAGGTTTCCTCCTGTAGTAACACTGGTTTACTAAGTGATAATCCTTGGTGGACCTCTAGGGAGAATAGTTTAGAACTCATAGAGCTATCCAGTATAAATAAAGTTAGTTTAGTTTAAGTTTCTTCTTGTAGTAACGTTAACTGGATCAACAAGAGATGATCCTTGCTGGACCTCTATAGGAAGAACAGTTTAGAACTGATAGAGCTATACCCAGTATAAATAAAGTTAGTTTAATTTAAGTTTCCTCTTGTAGTAACACTGGAGCAATAAGAGATGATTCTTACTGGACCTCTAGGGAGAACAGTTTAGAACTGATAAAGCTATATCCAGTATATAAAGCTAGTTTAGTTTAGGTTTCCTCCTGTAGTAACACACTAACACTGGATCAATAAGAGATGATTCTTACTAGACCTCTAGGGAGAACAGTTTAGAACTGATAAAGCTATATCCAGTATATAAAGCTAGTTTAGTTTAGGTTTCCTCCTGTAGTAACACACTAACACTGGATCAATAAGAGATGATTCTTACTAGACCTCTAGGGAGAACAGTTTAGAACTGATAAAGCTATATCCAGTATATAAAGCTAGTTTAGTTTAGGTTTCCTCCTGTAGTAACACACTAACACTGGATCAATAAGAGATGATTCTTACTAGACCTCTAGGGAGAACAGTTTAGAACTGATAAAGCTATATCCAGTATATAAAGCTAGTTTAGTTTAGGTTTCCTCCTGTAGTAACACACTAACACTGGATCAATAAGAGATGATTCTTACTAGACCTCTAGGGAGAACAGTTTAGAACTGATAAAGCTATATCCAGTATATAAAGCTAGTTTAGTTTAGGTTTCCTCCTGTAGTAACACACTAACACTGGATCAATAAGAGATGATTCTTACTAGACCTCTAGGGAGAACAGTTTAGAACTGATAAAGCTATATCCAGTATATAAAGCTAGTTTAGTTTAGGTTTCCTCCTGTAGTAACACACTAACACTGGATCAATAAGAGATGATTCTTACTAGACCTCTAGGGAGAACAGTTTAGAACTGATAAAGCTATATCCAGTATATAAAGCTAGTTTAGTTTAGGTTTCCTCCTGTAGTAACACACTAACACTGGATCAATAAGAGATGATTCTTACTAGACCTCTAGGGAGAACAGTTTAGAACTGATAAAGCTATCCGGTATAAATAAAGTTAGTTTAGTTTACCTTCACTTATTTCGCCAGAAACAGTTGCAGCCAGCGGAACTACAGCATTAATATACTCCCCATGATAAACGACATATCCAGATGGAGTAAGTTCCCGCGACTTGTGCCAAGCGACGTCATCGAAATATGATTGGTTCTCTTGACCTCCGCCGCCGTTTCCTATTGGTCCTTTCACGTCATGCGACCAGTTGACGTGAATGCAAGGCTGGCAATTTTCTCTTGCAGTTAGGGGCGACTTGCTACAGGGCTGAAGCCATCTAACAGAAATGGTTTAGTAATTTAGAGACAGATTTTTATACGCCAAGTTTAAACGTGAAAATGGCGCTGTAAAAAGGGCGAAGTTTCAAAAATATATTAGCGTTTCCCTGTTTAGGGCAGTTTTTCTAAAATCATGATCATTAAGTTCTTTGTATGTTTGCATGGCGATAAAACATATAATAGTTTTGTTTGTGGAAACACCGCGTAAATTTATTACTGCAAAGCTTTCGATCCGTAAGCCCGGATCTTCATCAGTGCTAATATGTGCACATATTATTAGCACTGATGAAGATCCGGGCTTGCGGATCGAAAGCTTTGCAGTAATAAATTTACGTGGTGTTTCCACAAACAAAACTATTATATTATCATGATCATTGTCATAGGCGTGCGAGACAGGAGGCAGGGGGGCAACTGCCCCCCCTCCTCAAATTTTGGAAAACCATAGAGATTCGGGAAAATGTTAGGAAAAATCAAGAAAATTCGGGCAGATTTATCAGAAAATAGGTGAAATTCAGGCAATTTCATTACAATCCTCCATGAAAATTCGGGCAAACTTTCAACTGCCCCCCTGGAAAGCATCAGCCACGTACGCCCATGATCATTGTTATAATTTTACAGTCATCAAAGAAGCTATTTTTCGCAAATTTTGCCACACATGAATTGGTGATTCCAGCTTTCCAATAATTTTTTATCTAGACAAGAAAGACGAAATCTATCATTATAGCTCAAAAGAGCATCCTTAAATTAGTAAAATTGCAAAGTTTGGTTGAGAAATGTTGTACTAAATATGAAAATATAGCCCTAGCCCTGTGAAATTAGCAAACTTTGAGTATTTTAGTATTACGCGCGGAAAAATTCACAACTTTCGACTCAAAAGTGGTGCATTTTTCAGCGCGTACTGCTAAAAACTCAAAATTTGCTAATTTCACAGGACTATATTTTTCGTACTTTACAACATTTCGCAACCAAACTTTGCAATTTTAGTAATATTAGGATGTTCTTTTGAGCTATAATGATGGATTTCGTCATTCTTGTCTTAGCTGGAGTAATCCATTGATACTAAAAGATACAAAACTCCGGTAAAGTTACCGCCATATGTTATTCACAAACACACCAGGTGTCTGAACTGCATTTATTCTTAAACTATAAGCTCAAAACACTTCGCTTTCTTCTATAGACATAAACCCAGCATTCAAACACTCCAAATTTTTTATGGAAAATGGCTTACGTTAAAAGTTGTCTCTAGGCGTTGAAAATTCGCATAGAAAACTTCAAACGCGAGGTTGTTGATACATACTTATGATAATGCAAAAGAACAGCTGAAGATCTGAACCAGTGCGCTCTGTGGTCAGCGAACATCCCCATGGCTCTTGGTACCGCGTTGCTGACGTCAGTCGACTCTGCTGGGGGTAGGCAATGACGTAATGATGACGTCATCAACACGAACTTATGCATGTCGTCAAATCCTCTTGCCATAATTCCCTCTGGCATGTGCATCAGGTCGAAGCAATGGCCAAGTTCATGAAGCGCTGCGCCAAGGGTCGTCGAATAATTCGCCCAGTATGTTCCCCTGGAGATTTTGGAAATATAAAACAATTCAGAATGAATTGTAGTACGCATACTAAACATATGACAATCTAACATAGACTTTATTTATACTGGATAACTCTATCACTTCACTTATCAAACTAACTTTATTTATACCGGATACTATTGTAGGCATGTCTGTCAGTGTCTCTGTTCCCCCAACTTAGGTAGGTAGGCTGGAGGGATATTTGAGAACCGTGAAAATCTTACGATTTGTTGGTGTGTAATCATTGTTCAAATGACTGCCACTTTTCACACAGATGAATTACTGGTTTCTAAAGCAGTAGCGAAGTGCAATGTCCCTTTTCACATTGCACACTTTGTGAGTGTTGTTGCTCAATCAGTGCTAAACTGATCTTCCTAGAGGTCCAGTAAGGATCATCGCTTATTGATCCAGTGTTACTACAGGAGGAAACCTAAACTAAACTAACTTTATTTATACTGGATAACTCTATCAGTTTTAAAGTGTTCTTCCTAGAGGTCCAGCAAGGATTATCTCTTATTGATCCAGTGTTACTACAGACGAAAACCTAAACTAGACTAATGTTTTTAAAATGAATAGCTCTATCAGTTCTAAACTCTTCTTCCTAAAAGGTCCAGTAAAGATCATCTTTTATTGATCCAGTGTTCACTATAGTTTATACCTGTAAACCACATATAAATCATAAGTATTCTCTAGTTATAATCACTCTGCGTATTTTCAGTTCTAAAATGTTGTATTTCGGCTGATGAGAAAGATCGTCACTCAATCTTTACGACGGTTACGACCAGATGGAAACCAGGCTCAAAATACACCGAAATCCAGGCTAATTATAATACTTTCATTCTCAATTACATGTTAGATTTCAACTGCAATTTATCGCGAGACAGAGAACGTCATTTCGATATGCAGTCGAGACCAAGGTTGGGTAGTAGCTATAGTTGTAGTTCGCTACTGTAGCGAACTACAATTTTCAAGTAGCCAGTAGTTTTTTACTACTTTTTTAAAACAGTAGCTGTAGTTATAGCGAACTACATTTTGCCTAAAAGTAGCCAAGTAGTTGACTACTTTTCAAACAACGAATCGCTATTCGCTATTTTTTAAAATTGTTAGCAACTTGATAGAATAGCATGATATTGAGACACAGTTTGTTTAAAATCAATACTCAATTTTCACTCTTGAACACTGTAGTGCTTACAAAAATGTTGCTTTGTGTTCACTGTTGCTACTCGTAAGTGGATTTGTTATACAGTAAGTTACATTACAGCCTGAGTTAGTAGATGCTCCAAATACAGTAAAACTAAAATATATAGCGTAACGAAATAGCAAAATAGTTCGCTACATTTTTTTAAGCAGTAGCTGTAGTCAGTAGCGAACTACCTTTGACAAACTTTGTTCAAAAGTAGTATAGTAGTTGTACCTGACTACATATTTTTGAAGTAGCTGTAGTTATAGCGAACTACAAAAATTTTGTAGACAACCCACCCTTGGACTCGAGACTCTAAATTGGTTTATCACATACCTTCCAGCGCTATCATCGAATAATTTCTTCTTATCAATTTCCTTGCTGTCAGTGAAACAGTTCACCAACTCCCCCACCTCTCCAGCCCAGGTGTGCAGCCCTGCTGTGCCAAACAAGCCAAGCTGCCCGCCTCCCAAGGCGGTGTGTGCCTTCACATAGCGTGGAATGTCTTTAGGATTGATTTCGTCCGGAGGGTCGTAATGAGAACAAGACATGAACGCCAAAAATTTGCAGTTTTTGTCATTTAATGAAGAACTTGTTAACTCTGAAATGCAAATGAGACAATTTAAACTAACTTTATTTATACTGGATAGCTCTATTAGTTCTAAACTGTTTTTCCTAAAGGTCCAGTAATAATCATCTCTTATTGATCCAGTGTTACTACAGGAGGAAACCTAAACTAAACTAACTTTATTTATACTGAATAGCTCTATCAGTTCTAAACTATTCTTCCTAGAGGTCCAGTAAGGATCATCTCTTATTGATCCAGTGTTACTACAGGAGGAAACCTAAACTAAACTAACTTTATTTATACTGGATAGCTCTATCAGTTCTAAACTGTTCTTCCTAGAGATCCAGTAAGGATCATCTCTTATTGATCCAGTGTTACTACAGGAGGAAACCTAAACTAAACTAACTTTATTTATGCTGGATAGCTCTATTAGTTCTAA